CCCACCCCAACCCTTTCCCTACTACTACCATTGCCTGCATATAGCCATCCATTTAAGATTCACCAGCACATCCCTGGAGCCAATGATGGAAATTTCAGGCTCCCTAGAAAGGTAGGTCAGAGGAATCAGCTACCACTTTTTACATTTTCTACTTCTCTTTCTCATCCCTACACCAGAGGCACAAGTGTCCTGATAAAGAATCAGGAAATCTAGATTGTAGTCCTGTCTCTACCACTAGCCAGCTATGTTATCTTGATATACCACATACCCACTTTGAGTCTGAATGCTCTCATCTGTAAAGGGAAAGGATTAGACCAGGTAATCGTCAAGCTGCCTTTCAGCTCTGAAAGTTCTTGATTTCATGGCTTCAGTTTCTTTCCCACTCTCTCCAGGGACCGCTAAGGTTGCAGAGCCTGGCCTCAGGCATAACCCACGCCAGCTTCTGAGAAATGATGACAGAAGCCAAAAACTTGCCAGTGATTTTGAATTTCTCTACATCCCTCCTGACTCTAGAATCGCCAGACTGTGACGGAAATGGTTTGTTCTGAGCCTAAGCCCCTGGGATTGGCTGGCATTTCCTTCTCTCGTCTCTAAATTGTCAGATATTCCCAAACACCTGCTGCCCCTTTACTTTTGCTCTGAAAGGGAGAGCCTGGTGTATGGTTTTCCTTAGAAGCAGCATGGCTAAATGCAAAGAGTTTGGACTCAGAGGTCATATGGGCTAAACTGAATTCAAATCCCTGCTGTGTCATTTATGGTTGTATGGGTGCAACCAAAGTACTTAGTTTTTGTGAGTCTTTGTTTTTCCATCTGTCAAATGGGGGATGATAATCCTTGCTTTATAGAGGATCAAGTGAGATAACCCTTAAATTGCCCAGCACAGCCTTTAGGACAATAGCTGTTATTCAATGGGTGACACTCCCCTTCCTCATTTCTCTTCTGGTAACAGAGCTCAAATCCTTCACCTGAGAGCTCCATGTTAGTCCAGAGATCACGTTAAAATTAAGCCCCGGGACGTCAGCTACCCTCACTCCTCCTTAACGCCCTCTGAGGCCACCAAAATGTCTCTGGGTCCCCAGGTCTGGGACTCCTTAGATTATAAGGATTTTAAGGGGCTCCTCCTGTTGCAGCCCCACCTCCACCTCCACTATCAAGGCCGCAGCCGAAGAGTGATGATGAAGGGAGGCGGTGGTGAGTGAGGGGCTGTTCTCTCTGAGGTCCTGATCCCACCTGCTGTCACCTCTCTCCCAGTGCCTTTGCTGCTCTGTGGTTACAAGCCCGGGCTTGTCTCTCTGCAAGCCAATGGAGCCCCACAAGGGTGTAGGCTCTTCCTCTTCCCTCTGGCTCAGCAGCAGGCAGGAATCAGCAGTTTCCTTCTGACAAGGCCCCGCTCTGGGCAGTGGGAACCAGGCTGGACTCTGCAAGGAGTTAACCCTTGCATTTCCTCTCCACTTCTCTTGATTGGTTGTGGCCATAGGTTATAGAATTTCAGGACTGTAAAGAACTTTGGAGAATATCTAGCTCAACCTCCTCATTTTATAAAGGTAAAATAACAGCAAATAACTTGTTCTTTAATAATTAATATTAATAATTATAGCTGTCATTTATTGCATGCTTATTATGGGCTAGGTATTGTGCTCATACATACTTGCTCCATTTGATCCTCATAATAACCATAAAAAGAGACTACTATTATTTCTATTTTAAAAATGAAAAAAATACAGCTCAGATCAGGTACATCACTTGCCTAAAGTCACACAGTTTTAAATGGTAGGACTGATTTTTAAATACAAATCTGTTGGAATTCCAAGCCTATAGCCTTAACTACTATCCTCTTGTACCAAGCGACTGACGGTAGGAACAGAAGCATACCCTAGGCGTGATTTGTTTTTTGCTTTAAGAAGAGGTTTTTGGTCCCAGTAGCAGACACCCTCCATTTAGGGTGCTCAGAAGGCAGCCGTACGGGTCACTTGGTCTCAGATTGTTCCCCAGGCTGCCGATCCAGTGTCCACAGCACTCTGCACAGAAATCTATCTTAGCACTTGTCACATGCATAACAGTTAACTAATAATGCTCAACTTAGCACGCCAGGCACGGTGTTAATCTTGCCACATAGTATCTGATCATCCCATGCGGTAGGCATTATGATTCCCATTTCACAGATGATAATGGAGAGATATTGTTACTCCTGAAGCCAGGAAGTCGCACAGATAGAATCTGAACTCTGAATCCCAAACTCTTAGGTACTATATTACACTGCCAGCTATTTTTTCTTTCACTCTTTCTCCCATTAGATTATGAGATATCTGAAAGTTGTGATCATGTCTTTTTATGTTTGCACCCCCAGCTGGGTACTTGGGAGATCTTCAATACCTTCTTGTTAAGTGGATGGCTGGAGGGAGGGATGAATGGATGGATAGAGGGATGGGTAGATGGATGGACGGACTAATGGGTGGATCATGGTAACCATGGGCCCTCCTTACCGCCTTGGTGCACTGCACATCCTTCCGCAGCATCTCGACCCTCTGACAGGACAGTGCTTGCCACTGACTTTCTTGTCTCTGCCATCCTCAGGTCTGGACCCCAAGCTCCCTCCCTTTCTTCTGCTTTTTCCCCTCTGCCCAATTCTTTTTCCCCAGTTTTCAAAATATCAGTCAAGCTCAAGCCCCTTCTCGCTCCTCCAGCTTACATATCTACATGACTACTTTACCCCTTCACTTGGCTGTACAGTGGCCTACAGGGCCCTGTATGTACAGGATCTGGTGCCTGTTACCTCTGACTGGCTCATCTCCAACCACTCTTTCTGCCACATGCTCGGGTCCAGCTGTAGTGGCCTCCTCGCTCTTCACACACTCCAGGCATGCCCTGCATTTGCTGCAAGAGCTACTCCCTCCCTCTCTCTCTCTGGAATGCTTTCCCAGATATCTGCATAGCTTACTTTCCTCATTCTTTGCTCAAATGCTGCTTTCTCAATGAACCAATCGTCGTGGGTACTGCCTCACCCCACTTCTGTGCTTTATTTTTCCCTATTTACCCTACAGCAGTTGTCACCATTTGAGAGACTACACATTTTATGAATTAATTTGTCTTGCCTCACTAATGAAAGCTCCATGAGGGCAAGTAGCTGTGTTGTATGGTTCACCTCTGAAGCCCGTGGTGCTTACAACAGTGGCTGGTGGTGTGGAGGCCCTTGATTATACATTGGGAATGACTCCGCGGATCAAGAAACATGCCTCAAGTGTCTGGTATCATCAGACTCTGTATTATGGGGACCACCTGGTAATGTGAGCCTGAGCACCTCTCTCACTTCAGGCCGTGGTGGTCTGCGGGCAGGGTGTGCCAAGGGGTGTGCAATGCCAGATGCCGCATCAGGGGTAGAGCAGGTGGGCCCTCCTTACCGCCTTGGTGCACTGCACATCCTTCCCCAGCAGCCAGTTGAGCTCCAGGTTGCCCTCGCCCTGGTAGCAGGACTGCAAGCGCTCTTTGATCTGCAGGTTGATGGCGCGGATGGGGAAGGCACAGAGGGCGGAGTCATCCGGCGGGTGGTGATACTGCTTCTGTCCTTTGGAGAAGATGGCGAAGAGCACGTCGTCCTGGCCGCTGATGTTGAAGGCCTGGGCCAGCGAGTCCCCGGGCTTGGCGAGGTAAGCAGCCTGCAGGAGGCGATATTCCACGCCGGCCCGCGTGCAGCCGAAGGGCAGGGACACGTAGGAGTGGAACTTGGGGTCGTCCTTGCAGAGCCTCACGACGCGCGAGGTGTAAAAGAGGTCTCCGGCCGAGTTGATGGCCACGCCCTCGGGGGTCTCAGGCTGGACGGTGAGGAAGTAGACGAAGCCCCCGCTGGCGAAGCCGTAGATATAGAAGATGTCAAAGTGGGCGACCAGGGCCAGGGTGTCGGATGGGATCTTGATGAGTGAGGAGACGAAGTCGCTGTGGAGCTCGTAGTCGAGCATGGCGGAGGACTCGGGGTCGCGGGGCAGCTTGCGGCTGGACAGGGTGGGAAAATAGTCCTGCTTGCCGTCCACAGCAGTGCCGATGAAGAGCTTGCCGTCCTCGCCCTCGGAGCGCACGATCACCCCGTACATCGTCCCCGTCTTGTTGACGCTGGACAGGTAGTGCTCCTTCTTGTGGGACGGCTCCACCAGGATGAAGAGGTCGTCCAGCCGCAGCAGCTTGCAGACCCCTTGGTACAGGCTGCCGCAGGCCAGCAGCCGGTTCTCGGAGTAGTCGATGATGAGCAGCTTGTTGACGTTGTTGGTGAGCGTGAGCACCTCGCTGCAGGGCTGAACGATGAGCGGCGGGTAGCAGGACTTGTTGTCCTCCTCCGGCCCCGTCTTGTGAGCCACCTGGATGGTCAGGTTGCCTGTCAGCTTGTACACGCGGTTGATGGCCCCCACGTACACTGCCCCCGTTCCGCGGTGCACCGTCAAATGGTTGAAGGTCCAGTCCCGGTTCTCGGAGTGGAAGGTGCTGAACTGGGGCACGCCGGCCGCCGGGGGTGCCAGCAGCACGCAGACGGCAGAGAGCAGGACCACAGGCCAGCCGTCCACCTCTGCAGCCCGCGGCCAGAGCCTCCTCTGTTCCATTCTGAGCCGGGTGGGGACCAGGAGACAGAGCCTGTGAGCGCTCGCGTATTCCGCCTTCCTGGCTTGGCCCTTACATGGTTCTGCAAAACACAAGGCAGAGGGGTCAGATGGAAAATAAATCCCTGGAGGAGTGAACAGGACTGCTTGACCCAGGTCCCAGTGCCGACTAGCTCTGTGAGGCTCTTTCTTCTGTATTTCAGTTTTTCTATTTTTAACATACTTTCTCCCTCTTTGGGATGTGCAGAGAATCCTATTATCTATTTTGGTCTCCAGCCTTTACGCTGTAAAATGCATTTTTTTTTAAATAACTTTACAAAGCATCTCTATTTCTGTCCTCTTCAGATATCGTTTTTATCTCTCAGAGAGGTTAAACGGCTGAGTTCACCCAGCCAGTTGATCCTGGTGTCGGAACTAAAGCCAGACTTCCCCCACCCAGTCGCTGGGTCTGTCCTCCTGTTCTCTCCCAGTCCAGTGGAAATCTCTCCTGTCTTGTGAAAGCTGGTTAGCAAGGCCCTCTCCCAGGCTCTCCCAGGCAGCTATTCCGAGTCTGATATCACAAATAAAATTCCTTCTTATTTCAGACTTCAAGCCCCTCACACTGCTGGCTTCCTTCCTCTTTCATGCTCTGTCCCCTGTAGGGAAGGAGGGGAGCTGGTCATCCTGAATCACAGTGCCTCTCGCTGCCCCTTGGCCTCGTCCTCTCTAGAAAGAAGAATCCCTGATCATTAGCGGTTAAAACTCGTTCGGAGTGTGAGGTGGGACTGGGATCCCCACAGGTGCTGTTCAGGAGCCTGCAGAGCCCCAGGGAGAAGGGCGGACGACCCCCCACCCCTCCTCCTTGGGACAGGAGGGCATCAGCCACTGCCTCCCCAGTAAGTGGGGTGCCAGGTCCTGGGGAAATTGCTTCCACTTCTGCTTCTCTGCAGGTGGAGCACAGGGGGAGTTGGCCTCCTTACTCCTGGGAACTGGCTGGCTGAGGCCAGTCTCAGCCACTTAGGCAAGGGTGCCGGGTTTGGGAGACGTGGAGAGGAGCAAAGGGAGGCAAGTTGAAGGTCAGGCTCATTGTAGCCACTGCTGGGGCCCTGTGATTATTTAAGGCTCCATGTGGCTGACTTCAGGCTGCCTGCCCCAGCCTCATCAGTCCCCTGGCCCGACTTCTTTCCTCCCTCTCTGCCCTCCCAAGCCCCAGGCTCCACAGCTTTTCCTCCTTATTCCAAGGAAGCTGCCCAGAGGGGCAAGGTGGTGTTCCTGCGAGAGCTTCTCTAGACTGCTAGGCAGCGGGTAGAGAGTGGGGCCTGTCCCATCACTCTGCCAGCGCTGCTCCTGACTTCCGTGGAGAGGGAGGGACAGCGGTGGCAGTGGCGGCAGCAGGCTGTCTAGCAGAGAGATCTTTCCTCCAGCTGGATGGAGTGTCTGACAACTTCCTCAGACAAGTCCAGACAGAACTCTGGCCGATGAGGCAGCAGGAGTGGAAACACTCAAGCAGAGGATTAAGAATGTGCTCCAAGGCGGCTTAGGAGAGTCCTGTGTCCCTTCGCCCCCAACCTGGCTAGACTGGGTTGGAACTAAAACAGATGCCATCTGCAGGATCCACATGGCTTTTGCTCTGTATCTTTAGAAACTCTCCCTCGTCCTCCTCAACTGTGCCTCCCATGCCTGACAGCCACCACGGTGCCAGAGGGAGGCCCCACCTGGCGGCTCCCCTCTAACCGGGTCTCACCGGGGTGTTGTTCTGGTGTGACTCATCAGGTCCCGGGCTTCCTTGGAAAGAGGGAGGCGACAGCAGCATGAGGCCCAGGCTGACCTCAGAGACTCTGACACAGCCCTTCCGGCCCCACGTGCTCACCGGCAAAGCCTCCCGACAGACAGAGCTTTCGGTTTGGAGGTTATTTTTAGCTATGTCCTGGGGCCAGTAGCAGGACGTGAATTCCTCAAGAGGAGCTGTGGAAAGGAAATAACAGAATCCTCACATTCTCCAGCTGGACAGGGAATGGCAGGAGGCCGGGCTGTGCGTGCCCCTGTCTCTGGGTAGGAGAGCTCCTTTGCCTACAGGTGGAGGGCTGTGTGTCCCCGAGGAGCCGTGAGGATTCTAATCATCACCATTGATGTGCTTGGGCTGTGCCTTTTAGACAGCGCTCTGTGAGACACCCTGGCATCGAGTTTGTGGGCAGTGCACCCCACCTCCCCCAGAACGTACATGCACATACATGCTTAGCCCATGGCTGGAGGGAAAAGGTCCCAGTAGAAGAGGTGACACCAGAGGACATGATTGTGAGGTTAAGATCAACTATCTCACCTCCCTGCCCGATATCCTCCAGAGACACAGTTTGAATAAACAGTGAGTGGCTTTTGTTGTTAGGCAGAATTGGGGAAGAAATTTGGGACCTTGGGCAAGTCCCGTCTCATCCCCCTTTTCTGGTAGGATGGGATAATTACAGCACCAGCCCCTCGAGTTGTCATCAGAGTAAATGAGATAACGCGGGGAAACCTCTTAGCATGGGAGCTGGCACTCAGTGAATGCTTAACTTACGGAGTTATTATTATCACTGAAGCCTCCCCAGGAGACTGCACTTCAGGAATCCCGCCAGACCTCCTGACTTCTCTTTTTGCTCGTATTCTTCCTTGCCATGGGAATGAACACTGTGGGCAGACCTTTGATCCCCTCCCTGGCCCAGTGAAGGGGCACAGACTAGGAAGCATGAGTCAGAGGAAGGGGGATAGATCCAAGGTGATCGTCTCTAGCACACTACTGCACAAGTCCCAACACAGCCTCTCCGCAGCCTGCAGGGAGCCCGGCGGAGGTACAGGATCCTGAGAATTGAAGTATGAATGGCAAAATTGGCCTGGTGGCTACAAGGCATGGAGTCATGGGGCAGGAGGAAGAGTGAGGGACTCGGGGAGCCCCGGATTCAAATCCTGCCTGTGTCACCCATGAGTTGTATAGCTTTAGACGGGTCTAGTATCAACCTGAGCCTATTTCTTGATCTTAAAATAAAGGATGCTAGAATTAACCAGTTCTTAAGATTCCTTCATTCAGACAAAATGATACCTTGAGACCTGCCTGCTTCAGCTTCTAGAGTCTGTGACTGCAATGGCAGCTGAGGTTCATTTGTCCTACTGGGTAAGGCTGGTTAAGTTCAGAGTTGTCAACAGAACAATAATTGGGCTGTTTTCCTCTCACCCCTCAATCAGCATCTACCTTGGGACAGACTGCTCCTGGTGACCGGCCACGCAGATTCATTCCGTGGCACTCAAAGATCACCCACTTGGGAGCAGTAGGCACTAGTGCATCAGGATCAAAAGGAGACGTGGTCTCTTGCAGTGCAGGGGTGGCAGGGGAGGCTTGCATTCCACCTTGGAATTCACAAAGACAACTGACTTCAACAGCAAGTTGAGAGCCCCTGTCTTTCCATGCCAAGGCTGATGCTATCAGGTAGCTCTTCCAAAGCAGGGCCCAGCTGGCAAGGATCAAGCCTCCTGTCTGAATTTAGAGTAAGGGGGAAGGGCACCCACCTCTGTACCTCTGACGAGAGGCAATGTGGTGTAATGGTTAGACTCATGAGCTCTGAACTTAGATGCTTGGATTCAGAGGCAATAATAGCTGTGTAAACTTGCTCAGGGTACTTAGCCATTCTCTGATGCTTTCTCACTATTTATATATAATGAGATTAGCACTAGCATCTACCTCATAGGATTATTATGATGAAGTCCTTTAATACATATAAAGCACTTAGAACAATGCCTGGCCTGTTATAAGTGTTCAAGATACATTAGCCTTTATTAGTAATCGTTTATTTCTCAATATTCCCAGCTCTTGATCTCCATCCCTTCCATGGTCGGTCTTAGAATGACTTTGGTAGAAGCCAGTGAACACATGCCTATGATTTTGTAGACCTAACATTTCCTCCTAACCCCAGTTTTCTGCTAGTGTCAACCTCAGGGGTTTTCTCAACGATGCCTCCTTCCTGTCCCTTCTCCTCTCTCCATCTAGTTCATGAACTCACTGTGTCACATGCATTCTCAAGAGCCAGACTTGCCAAGTGGCTGTCCTCCTACCAGTTTCCCTCTCCCCCACCCCAAGTCTCAAACCAGGACGTGCTGCCCCGGGATGCTCGCCCTATCAGCGAAGCATGCAAAGCATTCCTGATGCCAAGGAGAGGCCACACTTTCCTCTTTGGGAAGCAGGTGTCACTAAATATTTTATGTGGAGGGCCTGGTGACACCATCTCCCCGATCAGGATTCAGGAGGCAGGTGTTGGTGACAGCTAGTGAAGGCATCTAATACCTTCCTGATCAGCTGCTGCAGGCATCAGGGGCAGAGGAGGGAAGAAACGACAATTAGGCATTTCCAGCTCAGCTCAGTGCAGGAGTCTTTCCTTCCTGTGACCCGCTCTGTGGCCGTTTCTAGGAGATCTGGGGGAATATGCCTCTATGCTTACTTGGCCTCCCTTAATGCAAAAGGAAGGAGGAGGAGGTAGGAAGAGGAGTCAGGATCAGGATACAATTTTGCTAAACTGAGTAAAAGTTCATGATGGTAGAGCTCCCACTCTTGGACCCACCTGTAGCTCTTCCATCATCAGTTTCCTCCATCATTCTATCATCACTGTCACCATCATTATCACCACCACCTGCACTGTCATCACTAGCACCATCTTGACTGTGACAGTTTTCATAAATAACAGTAAAATATGCCTTGACAGTTTCAATAACAGTAAAATATGCCTATTAATACAACCGCACCTACTAGGTGGTTCACATAGCCAGGATCCATATGGTAAGTATGAGAATGAGGGCTGTGTACTATTTACAATAGCCAAGATATGGAAGCAACCCAAGTCTCCAACAACAGATGAATGGATAAAGAAGATGTGGTATATGTATACAATGGAATATTACTCAGCCATAAAGAAGAATGAAATATTGCCACTTGCAGCAATGTGGGTGGACCTAGGGAATATCACACTAAGTGAAGTAAGTCAGACAGAGAAAGACAAATAGTACATGATATCACTTACCTGTGGAATCTAAAAAATAAATCAATCCATATACAAAACAGACACAGAAAACATATTTATGGTTT